GACACTTTAAAGTAATGGTGTTACATACATCTGTTACTGGGAGATGTTAAAATTATAAAGTAAGTGCTTTTTCAATTGCTGATGACTGCTGCATCACATAAGAATGAAATAGATGTTAGGATATTTATCGGACTCAACTTCATTTGTTCACTTTAGTGATTTAAAATCTGCTGACATTAATGCCTAGCATAGACAGCAGGTATTATTAAAGCAAGTAAAACCTGTTAAACCCTCAAGTGACTGCTATTTTAGCCACTGAAATGACTGAGTGGGTTCATTTATGACTCCATTAGATTTTGTACAGGAAACCTTTTTCCTTTTTCCTTACAGCTTTATGTGTTAATGATGCCTATACTATTTACTTTTCCCATGACAATATTCAGTTATTGTTTATCAGTAATATGTTTTGGGCACAAAAGCGTCAACCTCACAAAATGTCAGTTTAGCTGTTTTCATCGTGAGTTTGGGTCTCAGGTGTCTGCTAGTCTGTTCTCGTGAGCACCACTTCACTGCGAAACATCACTTTGCACATAGAAAATTACACCAAAAATTTGTCTACAGTGTTAAAACAAAAAATAAATGACCCACCTAACTACCTATTACCCCTGTCACACCTGTGAAAAGTTGTAACACCTCACTTGGTTACTTCAAGGTTAAGTGTTCATACGTCACTCCGCTTTACAACAGTTTCTACTCCTTCTGTACTTATGTCTTGGATCTTTTGGGGGGAAGCTGTTCACACACCATGCAAAAAATAAACTGAATATTTTAATTTTTGTTGTTGTTGACCTTTACAAATCAAATGTAACGGCTCTTCACCAGTTTCTCAGAAACCAAACTAGTTCTTTAGGTTTTCTCAAATCTGTTGAATGAAAATGACTGTGAGGATTTAAAGGTCCTTTCATTTTTGTTGCTGGTTCATTTAACTTTCAGAGGATGTCATTCTCTGTAAAGAGGACAAAAAGCAAAGCAAGCGATAAAATTTAAACTCATGATTGTGGGGGAAAAAAAAGGTTTTCTGTGAGGTTTGATGTGCAAATGAACACATGAGACATCAGGATGAAACTAAATATTTATAGCACAACCTGTAAAGTCCAGTGTGATAGTGCTGAGTCACAAGACTGACAGATTAATATGAGTGCAGTAATAATCTTTACGACAGTGAGTGGCTATGAAGCAGCCCAGTGGTCTGAGTGGAAATTGTACAGTATTATGAAGATTATATATTGCATTTATTTAATGAGTAACGACAGCTTGTTTATGTTCTTGTATTTTGGAGTCTGATTGTGTGATGAGCAAATGCTCCTGCATCGTCTCAGATGGAAGCGGGGCTTTGCTCCAGAAGCAGGTTTAATGGAAAACTGGAGGCAACTCTGGGTTTTCTGTTGTAGTTGGACTGCAGAAATCCCAGGTCACATAACTCACTCACTGGCTGCTTTTCTTCAACAAACCCTGAATATAGTAATGATATTATTTATTGATAATAATAATAATAATAATAATAATAAGAAAAAACACAATAATAATTAATAATAACTGAACTAACTCTGATCAGCTGATAACTAACTCAGTTATCAGTTTAATAAACTTGCTTTCTGTAAAGGAGCAGTTGACAGTCTAGATAGTTCATTTATTTTTACAGATTTTGTTATTGTTTCAACAACTGATAATTAAGCTGGAATCAGTTGGAAGCTTCGTTTAAATATGTAAGATTTCTTCTCACATGTTCAGGACTTCTTTAGCATTAGAAATGTTTATTTATATATTTTAGCATGATTCTGATTGCAGTTTGACCTCTAACTGGACAGGACTTTCGAGTCCGATGTCACTTTTGCTTGTTATATCAAATGTGATTGGTAATTGCTGAAATAAGGCAGTCTTATTATTATGCAAAAGCACCTAATAAGCTGCCTTTCCATAATTCGAATGACCATGGCACCTAGTGTCTGCCTTATTTCCAATCTAGACATAAACATTTGCCACAGAAAGGCTCATTTGACTGCAGTGCAGATGTGTGACAGGCTGTGCTGCATCAGCAGTGTAGTTCTATAATTTCAAAACATAATGATTTGGGGAAAAAAGAAGTTTCTGTATAAATGTCCATTTCTTAGATTTGGAAATAAAGCAGACACTAGATGCCATGACTGAAATTAAACAATACTGAAGCAAATGCTGTATGCGGTGGCTAACCGCCTGAACCATGTTTGTGTCAAGGTTGGTGGGGACCACAGTATCGGGAAGTCAGACAAACACATAGTAGTTGAAAATATTTCAAGTTTGGAGAAGAATTTGCTTGACACTGTGTTGCTAAATCCTATCAGCTGAGATTCTCCGTTGTTGTTGTTTGAGGGCAGCTAAAGCTTGCATTGTTGCTTATCTGGGTCAGGGTCCTGTGGGCAGCAGTCTGAGCAGAGATGTCCAAACATCTCTTCCTTTTACTTCTTGGTAGTTTTGTTCTCCTTCTGGCTAATAGGGGTAAATATTTGTGGATGACTTTTTTTTTTACTGTTCACAAAACCTCCCCATTAAATTACAGCTGTAAGACACACTTGTTAAATAACACTACTGCGGTGAGAAAGTTTTCAGTGTCTCTCAATCTGTTTCATTCCTCCTCCTCCTCAGGTCAGGTGTACTGAAGGAGTACGTGAGTGGAGGTCAAAGGTCAACTCAGCGGAGAAACCGTACCAACTCTGACAGCTCGGTTTATGATACTGAACGTAAGACATAACATCTTTTTATAGTCTGCATAAGTGACACTTCAGAACTAAATAAAGAGAAAATAGTAGAGCGACTTAAACACATTAAGTTTTTAAGTGATATTATATAAGCTAATTAGTATAAGTAGGTATAGTTACATTCAATATGAATTCTTACCACTGAGCTGAAAACATGTTTTGTATTCAGTACTGAGAGTTCAAGCCTGTATGACCCTTGGTTGAGTTTACCAATGGCTGTTTCAGTGAGTGGTTTAACTACGTTCTTTGTAGCTTTCTGCACTTTCTGCTGTGTAACTCGATTTTGAGAATCCTGAATGAAAGCGACCCACCTGTTAATATATTTGTTTTGTTTTCCAGGTTTGCTGCCTGCTCTCAACGGTGACTCGTCCTCCATTCCTGAGGAGAGGGCAGGCAGTGTGAGCCCAAAGACCACGCCCACTGACACAGACACTGACCTTTCCATCTGAAGACCCCAAGATGCCCATCCAAACCCTGATAAACTCTAGAAGATGTCACAAACGCCACCAGATCATTATTTGCTGAGATACTGGCACCATTACACCAAGGATGAACATTTTCGTTGTAGGAACGTCCTTCACAAGCTGTTTCTCAGCTAATTGCCAAACAAAAGCACTTTGGATTCATTAGCTTTCATTTCATGAAGTCTTTCAGTTGCACAGTATACACTAGACTGACGGAAATTCAGTCCCGAGCTGAAGTTCGAGAAATTGAGAGTATGAATTATATGAAGCTTTAACCTGATGAGGTGAGAGGACTCCACACTGTTAACTTTTCAGATTTAACCATGGATACTTTTGTAGTCATGTAGTTGTACTTGAAGTCCACATCCTGGATTCAAGGAAAATTGTAAGTATCCCCAGTTGATCCAGCGAATTTCCTCAGCTGGAACCAGATGATTGTATCAGGCAGCTCCGTGACGCAGTGTGGACACGATGAACTGTGAATTCCTGGTTTCTGGAACAATTAGATGCCAGGGCTGCTTTAATCAGAATGTACTGAAGGTTTGTTGTGTTCTGAGGTTTGTTTGTGCATCCAAAAACTGACCGCAGAGCCAAAAGTTTTGTTCAGTGGCACTTAGACAGGATGTTGAAATCCAGCAACTGTGACGCAAAAGCATCTATTTTTCTGGCTTTTCCTAAAGAGCCCCAAATTACTTCTTTCCTCCCGTCTTCTGTGTTCTTCTTCCAGGCCTCCAGCTGAGCTCATTGCTGAAAGCAAAGGCAAAAAAAAAAAAAACGTTCTCCATCACTCTCCGTCCCTGCTTTAACGAGTCTGCTTGTGTCTTCAGATGTTTGCCAAAACATAATCACCTGCATTAAAGCTGCCACCTTTCTTTTTCCAGGCGGTCATGCTCAGCCTGGACCGTGTTACGCTCTTTGCAGCTTGTCCTCGTTTTGAGCCGAGTTTCACCTAAACTCCTAAGACAAGTGAACAGAAATACTAAATTTCAGATAATCTAGCTGGGAATGTGAGCAAATCTTTGAATTTCTTAATTATTTCCTTGAAGATGTGACCCTGACACCACTCATTTTAGGGTGAATATGAAAACTGAGCTTTTTAGCAATCGGTCACTGACATGACTGAAGCATTAATGCTAGCTCAGATCATATTATATTTGTGTGTGTGGTCACTGTGTCAGATTAGGAGATGTTTTAGAAGATGGATTCAGTTTTGGGATTTAATTGAGGCGGAAGTGCCTTCAACCTGCATTCCTTTTGATTGCCAGCAGGGGGCGACTCTTTGTGCTGCCTAGTCTTTGTGGAACTGTGAAGGTCGTTTTGTAATTTACTAAAGTCAGAAAGGCGAATCATCCAGGTGCACTCGTAGACTTACGACTTTTCAGTTATTTGTCCTCTGTTTCTTGGTCACATTCATCACCTGTTCATCAAAATTCTCTTCAAAACAACCAAATGGTGGCGGATAAAAACTTTGCCTTTTGTGAATGAGAGTCACCACAGATGCCACATCCCAGTCAGTCACACTTGTTATCCAGCCTTTTCAAATGAGAGAACCAAAGTGTTGTGTATAAACTGACATATAGTCTGTTTTACAGTCCTGCGTTTCCAACACTGGCAACATCGTTTCTCTTTTGTTTTTGTCATTTTCAGCTCCACGGAAAACTGGAGAAGGTTCCGGAAACTGAAGCGTAAAAATCAAAAACCTTATCTGAACCTTACTGTGATCTGATCTCCTCTTTAAGGTCATTTTCAGCATGTCTTTTTCTTTCCTTCATTCTGACCACTCTCACTGTGTGACTTCGCCGTGGACCTCACATTAGTGCAAAGAACGAACATCAACTTTTACTTTAAACTGATCCAGAGTTTGTGGATGATCATCGTTGGTGATGAGAGCTGAATCTTTAGCTATGACCAAGCAGTTTCCAGTCAAAGACCAGAGTTTCCAAGTCCAAAGGCAGCACATCAGGTTGAGGAAACTTAGAAGAACGCTCTGCATTTTTTTCAACATTTATCTGGTTGTGCATCATGGATTCGTTCCAGGCTGTGGATACAGAGTTCTGCTGTAACATCCTGAGGTGTCTGAGGGAGCAGATTCAGATGCAACGATCTGAACTGTGGGGATTTTCAGCCACAGACATACAGGCTTCGCTCACCACCTGTCTAACTCCCCAGATTTGCCTCCCTGTGACTGTGTTCACTTCCTGAAAGTATAAAATCATGAGAAGTATAACTGTTCAGACACACGAGAGGCGATCAAGCGGCGTCGCAGAGGAGCGAGTGCAAGGAGACAGCAGCAGTCATCTAAAAACTGCAGCCACACTGGTGATCAAAAGTTTACAGTGTTTGATTTTCACATGTTGATTCCCAAAACCTTATCAAACTTTAAAAATATGTAAAGCTTAACGTTTCAGACGATGATGTATTGTTTGCAAAGTGTTGTCTTTGTAAATTTCTTTCTGAGGAGCTGCAAGGAGGAAAAAACGTGTTTGTGCCATTTGAAAAACTGCCTGCAGAAAGTATCCACAGCAGGATAAACAGTGTTCACCACCAGAAAATAAAAAAAAACACAAGATATATAATTTTCTGTGGCTCAGACACTCTAAAGGTCAAAGTGACACATTGAGTGGAAGAAGACATTTAGATTTGTGTGTGTGTGTGAGAGATGAGGAAGGCTGTCCCAAATCTTCACACATCACCTTTGAAGTCTGCACAGTGTCGTGTCATGCCACGCTTGCGTTGTTGTTCAAACACAGAAAAAGTAGTCATGTGAAAACAAAGCAAACACAGTGATGCTCACCAACGTTCCCGGCAGAATACTGAACTGAAAAAAACCCCAAACATTTGATGCCGTAGTGCGTTTGTGTTTACCTTAACGTCACTCGTGCCAATTTAGATGGACCACGTCTGTTGTATCCTAAGCTTTGTGAATTTTGTGGGTGTTTTGAAACAGACAGTTTTCCTGGTAACTTTACAGTACTTTCCCTTAACATCCATTTTTCTTTCATGTGGTGACTTTTGCACTCCAGAGTCTTTTTTTAAAAAAATATTTGAGAACTAAATAAGTGGATTATAGTGACAACGGTACTGCGTGTTGGAAACAGTGATGGCTGTGAAACTTTGAAAGCTGCAGCCTTAAATATATGAAAACTTCTTGAAACCTTTCTTCTGTGTATTATTCTACTCGAATGTCTGTTCACTCTCTGTGATGAAGACCCAGAGGTGCATTTCCTGTGTATAATCAGAGCTGCACACAGTTTAAACTTTGGATGTTAGCTTCATGTCCTGTCACTGACCTGTGATGTTACTCTCATCTGCAGAGAGCTGGTAGATCTGTATTTGATCATTGTGTGGACCCATATAAAATAAAGTCTACATTTTGCCAAATTTTCAGACTTGATAGCACGACAACAACGCTTAATGAGCTTTTGCTTCTCTGACTACTGACGTGGTCCACCGGCTGGTTCGGGACATATTTGGGCCTCATATATGATCCATTTTCTGTCCAATAACACAGATGATAGATTAAATCGATCAAAAACTGGATTTTTTTTTTTTTTTTTATTATTGAATCACTTATTAATACAGTGAATTTTTAAAAAAGTTTTAGATTTACCTTTACCTATGGTCGTGAGCTTCAGTTAATGACCGACAGAATACAGTTGACACCGCTTCTCTGAATTGAAAGAGCCAGCTGACGTAGTTCGGACTTCCAGGGGCAGATCCAGCACACTCAGGAGAGATTGTGGCTCTCGGCTGGTTTGGGAATTTCTCAAAGAGCAGGAGGTGGGAGCATCCATGCCCCTGTGCCCAGAGAAGCCGTAGACCATGCATAAACAATGAGCTGATGAATGCAGGGGAGAGAACTCATCAGAATATATTTGCTGAGCTATGTAAGAGGAATATTACAAACTCTAGATATATGAATTTTAAAATAAATATAAAGATGTTTTTCTTGCTGTTCTTTTGCATCCAGATATTGAGATCCCGCCCCTATCTTAATGAGTCATCTTTGCAAGTACGGGGAGGCTGACTGTGTTACGTGTCAGCCGCCCTTTCCACATTACCATGCTAAGCAGACTGTTTAGCTGTAGATTCATGTGTTCAGGATTCTTTGGAACCCCCCCCCAAATAAATAAATAAATAAATATCCTGCCCTTAAACACTTCAGTCAACAAGCTCTGATGTGAGAGAGAGAGAAGCTTAAATATTACACTCCTGAGTTACTCCCAAATCTCTTTTTTTCTTCTTGCGGATTATTTTGTATTTGTTGTGGCCAAACCAGCAGAGATTTTCATGCCTTAACTGTCTCCGAGTGACGTAAGTGGTTGTATCAGATCAGATTTTCATTGTCTGAATAAAGAAATGTTTGAAACTGAAGGTGGTTTTTTTTTCCTTTCATATTTAAGGGTTTATATAGACCTTTAACACGCATGCATATACTACCTGCCCATAAATCAACAGCAGTTTAAGACTTTTAATAGGAGCTTTGTGTTTATTCAGCTGGTGGGAGGTTGTGGAGGGGCCTGGACGATGATCCTGTTGCGTGTTTACAAAAGGTGTGTGTATGCATATGTGCTTGTGTGTGTCGATCTGTGGTTGGAAGTCGGCTCTTTATTTTATTTATTTTCTGACAGCGATGAGCTCAGTGTGTTTCTTCCTCAAACAGCACATATCAAGACGCACTCACCTGACACTCATTTGCACAAACACACGCAGGTGTGTGAAGCAGAAGTATCCCGGACCTGAGGCAGAGAACGGGGAAGCATGGGTGAGTGCGCTTTGTGATAAATGAATAACTTGTTATCTTAAGAAGTAGCAAGTACAAACTTTACTATGCCACACATTACGCAGGGTTAACAGCTGAAATTGGTTAGGACTGTTTTTCTCACCAATTAATCTGCTCAGTCTGTACTGCTGCAAACTGAGTGAGGACATATTTTGTTCTTTGACAGAAAAAATCCTGAGCCTGAAATCATTCATTAGTTATCAAAATGACTTTAAATCAAAATGAACATGACCTCATGTGTTCTCAAATAGCAAATGTGAATTCCTGTTAATCTCAAAGTACTTGAGCCCAGACTCAGTCACTTAAATGTGATTTGTAACATTTTGCTCAAACACTAGGAAATAAGTGTAATTTCTCTGGTTTGTTTTCCAACTGGGTTCAGAGTTTTAATACGGATTATTAATTGGTTGGTAGTATTTTTTTTTATTGTCAGCTAAGAAAATGTAACCGTTCAACTTCTTGCTAGTGTGTTGAAGTAGGACAGGTGTTTTCAAATGTTGTGTAATGAGAGGCCACAGGTGATTGTGCGTTTGTATATTCATGTAGAATCTAGAATTCAACAAACTGTAGCTTCAAAAAAACCCTAACACAAATAACCACCTGTCTTTCTTTTTTGTTATGCGTGTATTTGTGCATCTTATTTCCTTCACGTTTTCTTCTCCATCTGATTTCTAGATGAGTCTGGAGGACTTCACTCAGATTCTGAACAAAACACTGAGGACAATCAAGCACGTCGTCAAAAACAATCAAAGGTATTAACCCATGTTTTTAAATGATGTGGAAAAATTGCCTCTTGAAAGAGATCTGTTGGTTTTTAAATTCTTAGACTGTATCCGGGTAGAGTTTGTGTGACTCACAGCTCAAAATATTCTGCATCTGTCAGACAAAGGTTTGTTTCAGCCCTCAATTCCCTTAAGTCAGTGTCCTCTGATTGGCTGCTCCTGTAAACAACAGGTTTGAAAATGAAGGGGTGGGGCTTAACCATAATAGGAATTTTTCTTCTGTGTCTATGAAGCCTGAGTTCATTTCATCAGCGACTTTTCCATGCTCTTACAAACCATATTATCGTATGCGAGCTCAAGTTCAGTAACACAGGTAAGCAGAGTTTATCAATCCAGAAAAGGTGGGCCTTGTATTTTCTGTTGGGATTGACTCACTTTTAGGGCCAAATTCGGCTTCATTTTTAAGTCCTGGATGTTTCCAACTAGTCAAAATATGGTCTCTTCTGGATCCTAACAAACATGGCAGCAGTCAAAATGTTAATACTGAGGCTATAAGTCCAGTTTAACAGGTTAAATGTTTTTTCTTTTCTACAATATTTGTGTAAATCTGGGGAATTGCCAGCATTGTTTCAGTGTTGTAGGAGGAGGACCTGCATGCATGTCCTTATCTCCTGCTGATTCTACTCCAAAGTGAGCTGATACAACCAAATTTCCCCTTGTGGGACAATTAAAGGATTATTCTATTCTATTCTAACTCCAGAGTCTATCTCGCTGCCCTGACTGCTACAACCACAAGGCACACTTCAGGTCTCGGTGGGGGGGCAGGAGTGAGTCCAGCTCATCTGACGAAGACTTTGGATCAGAGGTTAAGTCCGACTCAGAAGCAGAGTCCAGTTCCAGCAGCAGTTGCTTTACTGGGAACGTCGTAGAAGAGACACCAGTGAGGCCTGTGTGTGAAGACACTGCTGAACCTGATTCTGGAGGGCAGGATGGTGACAGGCGAGCGGAGACATCCGAGACTCCAGAGGATAAGGGAAAGATGAAGGGGATGCTCAAAAGACCTCGGCTAACCAAGTCTGTCAGTCTCCTGCCCCACCCTCGCCAAGTCACCTCCACCCTTCACCTCCAGGTGCTGCCCCAAAAACACAAGAATGACACCACCTACACCATCTGCCGACCAGAGAGAGGGGGAACCTTAGGAAGAAGAGACAATATCCCTCCCTCTGTACCATTCCCATGCCCGCGGCAGCCACCACATCTTCAGCCTGACTATATTCCTCCTCTCGTACGTCAGGGTCAATATATACCTCCACCTCTGCACATGTTTCCTATGTTATATGCACCTCTTCAGGCTCCAAATGCATCCTGCACACATCTGCAAACACTTACTGCACAACCATGCCAGTGTTATTACTGTATGTACTTTCCTCACACACACTGGAGTCATTACAGCAGTACACAGCTGCCCTGGTAATACAGTGCCCTGCAGTGTTGTATACAGCCCTTAAGCATGTGAAAAAACCAATAAAGAAATGTGAATATAAGGCATTAAATTAATGTTTTGTCATTGTAAACAATAATGCAATAATCCTGTCTGCATACATCACATGCATGCAATCGTACAGGACAGTTTTGTTTGAATCCTGCGTGGAAACCTCATCTAGTAGGAGGGGCTTATAAACAAGAGAAAGTCACATAAGGACTGCTCGATCATCAAATTTGTATTTTTTTTTTAATATATTACAGTTTTAGTTAAATGTCATTTTGGGAAGTCTGTCCTTGAGTAAAGTATCCGTCAAAACGGCGACGAAACGAGTTACTTTTTATCAGTTGTAGGTGGGAGGCCTTTTCAAACACCAGGGTTCAGAAAGTACCAGCTTGTAACAAATTGTTCTGTCTTGAGGTGAAAGTGTTCGTGATGAAGCTGTAAATCTGAATTCTGATGACCTGCATGAAGAATTCTGCTACTTTCAGCTGCATTCACAAGATTTCACCAAAGTCAGTGCCTCTGTATCTGGCAGATTTTAATGCTGGACTCTCGCTCTGAAGCAACCCCTGAAGAATTCGT